CCCAGTAGCGATGGCCTCCACCCCTTAGTAGCGATGGCCTCCAGGAACTTTCGGCGGATGGCAAGTATGAGATCCGCATGTTCCTGCCCTTGGGTTTTGAACACATCAAGACGGAGAAAGCCTGGGGAACCATTGAGGTTGATGACTATTTGCCGTGCGTTCCACCGCCCAAAGAGGGTGTACTTTCAGGTGCAAGGCCGTTCTTTATGGGTCTGGCGAACGGAAACAAGCTCTACATGGTTTTGCTGGAAAAGTGCTTTGCCAAAGCATCAGGCAGCTATCAAGCTTTGTATGGTTTCGATTCCAGGACTGTTTGGAAGGCTTTGACTGGCTGTGAAGATACTTTTTGCTACACTGATGTTTGGACAAGCAAACGAGGGAAAGATTATTACAATCAGCCGGAGTGGCAGGTCACTGCAGCAGAAGTTATGGTTTCAGAAGAGTATGGTGGTCAGAGCAAGGGGCGCTTGATGCAAGGAGCCACCTTTAAGGAGGTGGAAAGGAGACGTTATCATGTGAAGTTCCAAAAGCTTGAAGGTGAAGGTCCTGAAGAGGGCTGGCTGCCTTACTTCGTATCAGGGAAGCGCACTGCCAAGCGCACGTCCAAACGTTGGTGGCTGCACTACGTTGACGGCTATCCCGAAATGGATGATATGTTCGAGAAGCTTGTGGAGCTGGACCGGGCGAACTATGTGATGTGCACTGGCCCCAGGAGGCGTGCAGGGATGCGTGAGGATGGCCTCGTGTTCCCTCACGCCTACAGCGTTCTACACGCTGTGCATGTGAAAGGCGTGAAGATGGAAAAAAAAAAAACAGAAAAATGCGGGGTCTAAAGAAAAAAGAAATTGTAAAATAAAAGAAAGGAAAGGAGGCATTCTTTGTTTGAAAAGTCTTGTTTCCTCCTACATGTCCGTGCAAGGCTTGAAGATGGTTTGTTTGCGGAATCCTTGGGGACATGGAGAATGGAGAGGTCCCTGGGGGGATCAAGGCGAGGAATGGAAGTTGTACCCAGACGTGGCGGAAGCTTTGAAGTTCGATGAGAAAGACAATGGTACTTTTTGGATGGAGTGGGAAGACTTCGAATGGAACTGCGGAGGAGTCGACGGCTTGTCCTTTTCGATTCCTGCAGAGAAATCTTCCAAAGTTGAAGTTTGAAGAAGAGAGTCTTCCCCGACAGAACTCTTGAGAGTCTCTCAAAAGCCTTTGAGACTTTGAGATCACTTGTTTCCCCGAAGTCAGAACATCAGATATCGAAGATATTGACACTAGACAACGCACTTGCTTGACAACCGCATTGCCAAAGGGCAGAGGCGCTCAAAAAGATTGTCCTTTGAATAGACAGCTTGTTATAGGAGACCAATAAGGACAATAGCCAACAATGTGACATGGCCAACCAATGTGACCACCACAGTGTGAGGCCAATGCGGGGAGCTTCGCATGATGAAGCCATGACTTCGGACTCCACAGCCTCTCAATGAAAGTGCGGGAAAGAGACAGAGAGAGACATATAGTAACAAGAAGCTATTAGAAACAAGTGCCTTACTAGTATAAACAAGAAGCTATTAGAACCAAGTGCCTTACTAGTAGTAACAATAAGAATTTAATTGGAAATGTAATTACTAGCAAAGGAATCTACTAGGACCTTTTCGAGCGCGCGCGGGGGTAGGAAGCTAGTAGTAACAAGTGCATCGCTTCTAGTAACAAGTGCCTTACTAGTAGAAACAAGTGCC